TGGCGACCCGGCGGACTGGTGGCGCCGGTCGCCGATGGGCCCTGATCATACGGCCGGCCACAATGGGCGCTCCATCACCCCTGACCGCGGTACTGACACCGTTACTGCGCGCACACATCAGCACATCGCGGGGGGCCGCATCAAACACCCCCAGAGCAGCACCGGCCGCGAGGCAGGTTCCGGGTCGGTTCCAGAGCGCGGCATCGGCGACCCCTGGCGCCTGGAGCCGGCCAGTGCCCCAGGACGTACGGAGCGACCGTCATGGCGGCGGCAGCCGTGTGATAGAAAGCTCGTGGGGCGCACTGGAGAAGGGCACCGCTAAAAAAAAAAAATACACTGCAAGGCCCGTCAGCGCAACGGATGGAGCCACAGCCGTTGTTCCCAGCCTCCAACACTAATGTAGCCAACCTCTAGCCGCCCAGCAAAACAGCGCCGGCAGCGGCCACTTCTCGGTGCCGACGACGGCAGAGTGGGCCGTTTTTAGGGCGGACTAAGCAGGGACAGCCACTGAAGGTTTTTGTCGTTTCTTGCGGAGCACCCTTGACAAGTCATCGTAAATACAAAAGGCTTATGTCAGCTCGTTTCCGGAATTCCAGTCGACAATGCCACCATTGTCATGGTTAAGCCGTTGGCTACACCAAGCTCTGTCGTGTCTAAACGCCCCGCTGTCCCTCTGTCTCCCGGAACGACACCTCACTGTATACCGATATAGTTACTAGAACCTTCCCAGTCCCTCCGTACGCAGTATCAGGCGGCTAGAAATGTTCAGCTACGCAAGCTGAATGCGAAATTATCTCACTGCATTGAATGATATATTTCTTGCAGCACAGCGGCGTTCGTTTGTCTCTGTTTCAATGCCACATTGCCGTTCATGGCCTCTCGGCTAGGCAGTGGCCAGCCCGGCCACTGCCGGGCTGGCCACTGCCTAGCCCGGCAGTGGCCAGCCGGGCTAGGCAGGGTGGTCGCTGCCTGGTAACAATTGCCGCGCCGCACACGGGCAGCCTTGGCCATCCGGCCGGACCGAGCTGGCCTTGCCGCCGCTGCCGCCGCCGCAGGGCACGAGCATGGATACCACGGCGGCAGCGGTGGCGGCAGTGGCAGCGGCGCCGGCTGCCCCTGACGCACCGATTAGTCGCCGGGTAGCTGCGTTTCATGGTTTAACAATTTCATCACGGGATATATAGTCTACGATAACATACGTCGTAGACTACATATTCCGTGGTTTCAGCATAGTTTCAACCGGGCAGCGTTTCAGCAAGGCCGAATATTTGTGTGTAAAGATGTCAGCGTAAGCAGACCAATGAGCTGAGTTTCCACCCTACCGATGACATACCTCCAGGCCCAGTCGCCTGTCGCTGCGTTGTTCACGTACGGCACGCTGTGGCTTACCGATTGTGTAACATCCATGAGGTCAAGACCCCCGGGGTCAGCGCTGAGAGGTCAGGCCCACAACTGGGACGACTGAAGCTATTATAGCGGTCCGGATCAACACCTTACGAGGGTGTATCGACTGAATGGCTGCACACCAGCCGCCCACTCCTCCCACGGCTATCGCCCGGCTATCATCTCGCTCAGCACAAACGATCACGGGCCGCCGAGCTGGCCGTGGCTGGCCGCCGCTGCCGAGCGCGCCGCGACCGACGGCCGCCCGCCCTACCGTTCACCCTCCCTGGGCCATCGTCACGGCGTCGATAGGGGGCTGTCAGCGGCGCCCGCCCAGTCGCGCCGGCGACCGAGGCTGACGAGTCCGCAGAGTAGCCGGCCGGTAATTAACCTGGGCTGAGGAGGCCTCACTTCTGACGGACGAGATGGGTCTGATCTCGAACGGACCTAGTAAGTAGTAGATATGACCTTTGACGGACCAGTACTGTCGCTCGACCACTAAACGACCTGCCTCTCGAGCATGGGCGCAACTGCATGGAAAAGCGACGTTCCCTGGCCCATCAGCCCCGCAGTTGGGGCCGATCGGTAAGTCACAGCGGAGTCTAAAGTAAAACAGATAGTGGAACAGATTGGGAACTCATTGAGACAGATCCAACTCGAGCACCCCACTGGTGCTGGAGTCGGATCTCTCTCACACATTTGTTATCAGTATGATCGCATCAGTCACAACGGTGCCACAGTAACTAAAGGTACCGCTGTATCAGAACAGACCAGTAACACCGCCGACTGACGACTGCCCTGCCCCGTCCCCAGGTGTGGCACTACTGCGACCAGGACGGCACCAAGCACTCGTTCCTGTGTCCGAACGGCACCATCTTCAGCCAGGTGACGTTCATCTGCGACTGGTGGTTCAACGTCGACTGCAACACAGCCCTGCAGCTGTACGTCACCAACGAGGCGCTCTCGCTGCTGCCGGCGCCGCCCGAGAAAACCTTCCCCGAGGACTTCAACGGGCCCATCGTCGACTGGTACATCTACCAGCGACACCAGGAGCGGGCCTACAGGAAGGTGAGTGTGACCGGTGGATGTACCCATCGTCGACTGGTACATCTACCAGCGACACCAGGAGCGGGCCTACAGGAAGGTGAGTGTGATCGGTGGATGTACCCATTGTCGACTGGTACATCTACCAGCGACACCAGGAGCGGGCCTACAGGAAGGTGAGTGTGACCGGTGGATGTACCCATCGACGACTGGTACATCTACCAGCGACACCAGGAGCGGGCCTACAGGAAGGTGAGTGTGACCGGTGGATGTACCAATCGTCGACTGGTACATCTACCAGCGACACCAGGAGCGAGCATACAGGAAGGTGGGTGTGACCGGTGGATGTACCCATCGTCGACTGGTACATCTACCAGCGACACCAGGAGCGGGCCTACAGGAAGGTGAGTGTGACCGGCGCTCCGCGGCCCGGGCCGAGAGCTGCGGGCCGAGAGCTGCGGACTGGGAGCTGTGCCTCGGACTGGAAGCTGCGGGTCAAACCCGGACCGAGAGCTGCAGATGACGTCACCACTGCCGCCGTGCCGATGACGTCACGGTGGCAGTGATGACGTCAAGCGGCGCCTCTGAAGAGTGCGGAACGCCGGGTGGCAGCCAATGACGTCACATGAGGGTGAGGTCACCCCCCGGACCTGACGTGCTACAGCGCCGGCTGGTTAGACAGACACCGTCTGGTGACACCGTCTGGTGACACCGTCTGGTGAGACCGGCTGACGCCACGCCGTCAGAGCAACTCCCGGCGCCGGGCGGCCTTCACACTCAATTAGTGCCGATGTGTCGATACGGGCATCGTCCCACTGACCCGTCATGTCCATACTGCACCGCACGTGCCCACCCCCTCCCCAGCATTACCAGTGGAGACATCACCACAGTCATGGACCACGAGAGTCATAGCTGCAACAGAGACTGTCTAACCACGTAACTCAATGGACGTGGAAACACATCACGAATATTGAGTGGTGTTAGCGTGGATACCGGTGTTGCCTCTGAGGGCCTGTGCTACCCGCGATGCTTGTGATCGCCTCTGACACCCCCTGATATCCGTTTCAGGAGAAGTTTCTGCGGCAGCTGGAGGCCGGCCAGCGCCAGGAGGCCATTCGGTTCCTGGAGACGCACGACTTCCCGCCGTGGTTCACGCCGCGCGACCAGGCGCTCTACAGGAAGCTCAAGGCGCTCGAGCGCAAGTCCAAGCACCACGAGCCGCCGCCGCACCGGCCTGTCAAGAAGGAGCTGACGCAGTACGCGCCGCGCTACGCCCGGACTGCCGTCTAGCGGCCGCGGCCCCACGCGCGGCAGTCGTCCCACATGTGCCACAGACATTCAGTGATACCTTCGCCGTTCTGTTACGCCCGTCTTAGCGAGTGTTGCGCGAGTGATGAGCGAGAGAGAGCGAGCCGGCGCGAGAGAGCGAGAGAGCCGGCGCGAGAGAGGGAGCGAGCGAGTGCGCGGGCCGATCCTAGTGGCGCGCGTCGGCCGTCCGCAGTCCGGTGTCCGGTGACCGGTCAGAGGTGGGGGGGGGGGGGGGCAAGGGACAGCGCGCGGCGCCCGCCGGCCGGCCGGGCCCTCCGCCCCCACCCAGCAGCTGCCAGCCGGCCCAACATCAGCTGTATTATCGTAATATATTATATACGACAGGTGCCAATATTTGGACATCTGACGCGACACAAACCATTGGTAAATAAACGCTACGAGAGGAGATAGTCAGAAACCGAAGCAGTTAGTGACATGTTTGACAAAAAAAAAATGGATCGATCCGGCCACCTAGAGACTGGACTGAGCGCTCCGGTGGCCGAGCCAACAGTGCTAAATCTGTGCTACATTGGAGGATGCCAGTATGGGTAGCACGCTAGTTCTTCAAGAACTGGGTGGCCGCGCGCATGAGAACTCACATTGCTCGGAGATCAGCATAAGGACTTCAAAATCAAAACTGCGTGAAAAAGTAGCCGTAAGTAAAAATCACAGCCATGAGTAGCACAGCTAGCAGCATTGAGGAAGGTTAGCTTCATTTGACTCTTAATAACCGACCTGGTGCGGATACCGTCTGACGTCCATCTATGAACCGCGCCTGACGTCTTATCCAGTCTAACCCGTATCCCGCCTGTCTTTTTCGTCTAACCCGTATCCCCCTGACCCCTTCAGTCTAACCCGTATCCCCCTGACGCCCCTCCAGTCTAACCCAGATCCCCTGACTCCCGTTTAACCCGGATCCTGCCCGACGACGGTCCAGGCATCACATTTACGCTTGGTGATTGCGATAAAAAGTCTGGAACAAGATAAGCGGATATAAAATCAACTTCTCTTCGGCCGCGTTGATAGAGTCCCATTACCACGTCCGGCCAGGCACCTCCAGCTGGCGCCCAGATCTCCGCGAGCCAGCGTCCCTACTGACGCGGGATCGGTATCTCGTGGCCCTGGTCAGAGCGGGGCCGACAGACCAGACAGGCAGATAGACCGGTAGGACAGACAGACAGACCAGCAGCAGAGGACGCCACTGCCGTGTCGACACCGCCGCCGTCTGCTCTCTGCGGCCCATAGTCCGTCCCCATCTGCCCACATTAACCACAGGCCCTACCCTGGGTTGACGCGCCGCGTCGCGCGCCGCGTGCTCTCCCAGTTAACCGGCGTTGGTGGCGGCCAGCAGCCAGTGTCAGTGCCGCTGTCACTGCCCACCCGGCCCGTGTCAGTGCCGCTGTGACGGTGCAGGGCGGCAGAGCCGGCCCAGGACTGACCTTGATCGCCCAGCGGAGTCGTCGCAGAGTGCCCTGGGCGCGCTGAACCGCCTCCTCCAGCTCCGGGCGGCGCCGAGCGTTCTGTCGGCCAGACGCCATCGGTCGGGTCAGATCAGCAGGAGGGACACATCGCCACAGGCTAATATAGCGGCTGCATGAGCGCCGACAGGTCCGCGCTCAGGCCGTGCAGATACAAAAAAGCCAAAGTGTGAATATAGTGGACTGTCCCGATGCTCACGTTTGACATGCATGATACGACTTTGCCTTTACTAGCCGCTCGTCGCCCAGCTCACCCTATCGCTGAGCGGCTCCACGGTGTGGCCCTTGTGCTCGCCAGAGATGGAGCAGTGCGAGCACACGGCCACCTCGTCGTCGGTGCAGTAGTACTCGAGCGGCCGGCCGGCGTGTAGGGGGCAGCACCGGGCGTCCGCCAGGGCGGCGCCACTGTCGCTGCCGCTGGCCACCGAGGAGCCGGGCGGCGCCGGCCGGGACACGTGTCGAGACAGAAGCTTCGACGCACGGTGAACCTGCAGCGGCCAGAGTGACATGCATGATTCCAGCCAATTTATATACTGAATCATGACCATTTACCGTCATAAGCAACTTTAATTGAAGAGATCTAAGCCTCTGTGGGAATACAAACAATGTGAGAACATGAATGAGGCAAATGAAGTTTAATTCAAGTGACATAGATGAACGCAAAATAGGACATGAACAGTGATCATATCATCTTCCCAGGAGGGAGAAGTAGCGGCAGCACAGGATTGGCTTACCTTTTGGAAGCAGCCGGTGCAGAATCGCGTGTCCTCGCATTTGGCGCAGAGCAGGGAGCCGTAGTTGGATCCGCACTCCTCGCATTTCTCTGTGAACGTGACACACCTCCGTCATCAGCTCTGCGTGGGAGCACAACACACTAACTACTCCTATGGAAGGTGGTCGCAGCGGAAAGGCGGCGCCGGCAGCCCTGGATCGTCTGACTGCTGACCGGGATCCCGTGTCCCCAGTCGCTCGTATGTAACACGAGGACGGCGCGGGACGGCACGGGAGAGGGGGGCTGGGGCGGGGGCAGTGACCGCTCCGACGCCCCGACACACAGCGCCGGCGCCGCGGAGACACCCGATACCGAGACTCGGCACCGTGCGGACTGCGGGGCCCGTCCCCGGGCGCCGCGGTACCCCGATCCCGTTCGCCGGCCGCTGGTGTGGCGCTGTGCGTCCTGCAGCGTTCTGTAGCGTGGTGACCCGCCCCGGTTCGACCGGGTGGAGTCAGGAGTCGCCACTGCTACCGAGCCTGCCAATCACCTGGGCGTGGCTGATGGCACCAGGGGCCGGGTACCGGGCGGGCCGGGCACCATACTCCAGCCCCTACCCCGCGGCTCTATCCCGCCTGTGTTATCTTATCGTACTGTCCTGGTCATTCAGGTGGGTCAGTGCAATCACACGAGCGATTCGGCATAGTATACCCCCAGCTGCATCGTACCTACAGTCCAGGTCAACTAGAAGTGCAGAAACTGTGCATACCGTAAGGTGGGGATATTTGAGACAGTGGGGCTATTTGAGACAGTATTTAAGATTGCTACAAAATAGAAACCACTTAAAATGTATTCTTAATTTTTTGATCAGGCGATTTACTGCTCGATTCCACACCTCCCTGAGCAAAAATATCACACAAAAATCAAACGATCTTCATTTTATAACGATTTTGAATACTGTCTCAAATAGCCCCACTGTCTCAAATAGCCCCACTTTACGGTACCTTTTTCAGACAGAGTCGGTTTGACAGTCTTCTCCGGCACCAGCTGTTTGGTCTTCTTCGCCGTGACAAAGGTCAAAGACTCTCTGGAACAGATAGAAACACACAACATCACTCCCAAGCTCACCGTCGCAGAATTTCCCAAATGTGTCTGCCCGCACAGCTAGAAATAAACAAAGCGATCCGACTACAAACCAGCAGTACATACGACAGCTGTAAGCCACTGCATCTGTACGCTTATTGCGCCCACACGCCTCCGCGGTGCTGAGGTGCCCTCCTAAGCCCCGCCCCGCCCGTCCCGCCGCTGCTGAGAGTGTCCCGTCCCGTCCCGTGTCCCGTCCCGTGTCCCGTCCCGTGTCCCGTCCCGTCCCATCCCCGGGCACCTACTCGTTGAGGCGCGGCCGGACGTTGAGCACCAGGCAGCCATTGATGAAGGCGTCCGGTGGCAGAGTCTTGTCCTGCACCACCGTGATCTGACGGCAGAGCGGACTCGTTAAAGGGAAATACGGGCTGGTCAGGGGGACGGGGTGCTCAGAGGGGTACGTGGGCTCGTCAGGGGGACAAGCTGCTCAGAGGGGTGCGTGGGCTGGTCAGGGGGACGGGATGCTTAGAGCGGTACGTGGGCTGGTCAGGAGGCAATGGCGTGGTAATCTTCATAAATCCTTGAAAAAAAATGTCAGTGCAGACAACATGGTGAACATGAAGCCCCTCAAACGGGCTGATGGTCGACTCTCAATACCTCTACATTTTGACGTCACAGAGAAATGTAAGCACCAACCCTGTTGCCGGGGTGCCGACGGTAACCACCTGCTCAGAGGTTGTGACCCCGCCGAGTCCCGCCGTGTTGCACCTGTACGTTTCTATCGCAGACGTACAGTGTACAGTTACACGCTGTACCCCGCCGAGTCCCAATACGCGTCTGTCGCGGCTGTTCACGCAGTGTCCCCCCCCCCCCCAGGGTGTGTACGCGCCTGTCGCGGGCGTACCTGCTGACAGAGTGGACAGGGCATCAGCGGCGACTTGGCGGCGGCGGCACGGACGCACTCCTCGCAGACGCTGTGCCCGCAGTCGAGCAGCACGGGACACCGCTTCTTCAGCTGGTCTGCAGCGACAGACGGCGGGAGGGGGGGGGGCGTCAGACCGAGCACCAGCCTCGTGCACCGAGCACCCGTAAACCGTCAAAGGGCAGCTGGGAACTTTCGGAAAATAGCGGGCAATGACAATTACAACGATGTGCACCAAGAGCTTCTGCTGAGAGTCGTCAGTACTAACTGATCAGTTACCCCTTAAATTAGTGCTAGAAAAGAAACAGAAATGATCCAGGCCTAGTCTGGCGAAGTGAAACGCAGTGGGTGTTTTGGATGCGACGGGCGCAACAGTTGCTCATTTCCATGGGCTGACGGCTGTTCACGAACCTTTCGTGGCGAATCCCCTGCCGCAGCCCTGACATGTGAGCAGCTTGGGCGGCGTCATCTTGCCGACCACTGCTTCTCCTTAGGACTGGAACAGCCAGTCACAGATCCTCCTAACGGACTGTATCCTCCCAGCGGCAAACGCTGAGTACTGACTCTAGCCTGTCAGTGATGGGCCAGTGTTAGTCATCTCCACATTCGACCTATAAAAAGTGAGAAACATAGCAAATGTTTTTGCAAAACTAAAGCATCTCAATCTACAAAATATATGTTGCTGTCATAAAAAGACTTGCGACAATGGTTACCTATGATTAAATATCAGCCCACCAGACCTTAAAACTCCCTGTAGCTGCTTTGCCACCTCGCTAAATTTATTTGAACTAATGAAATTTAGTGAAAGGCCCTGCTTTCCAGCCTGCCAGGCATGCGACCCCATCGAAACACACCTCATGCGTGCAAACCCCAAGCTTTGCAGTGTGAGTGTTTACTAAACACTTTAAAACTCAACCAAACAATGTAGTTATAGCATTATCTGAAAGAGTGGAAAAAAGCCTTAATCTAAAAACAGGCCTTATTGTTATAGATTTGCCTTGCAAACCCCGCACGGCGCACAGTCAGGCGTCAGTCGTCACAACTTACAGCGACGTTATTTCCTCACCTAAGCCCAACTCCAAAGCCTAAGCTTAAGGGTCTCACAGCACCAACACGAAATCACACCGCCCGCGACACGTGACAACCCAGGGTATATTGAGTGAAGGGTAGGACGAACTTTGGTAGGAATTTCTAGTATAACTACTAGAAAACCTACTATATGTGGTCGGGACTAGCAATAACTTAGTTCAAACTAGAATATGGTAGCGCTTATGGTTGGCAGTCGTGACGCGCATGTGACATTCATTTATTAAATTTCTTAAATAACAGGTTTTAGGGGCCGATTATGGGCAGATAGATTCAATTAGCTATTAATAATTGATTATGCAAACATTCAATAATCTACATCATTCAATTCTAGCCGAAATTACGCGGCGCTCCCAGGATTCGAACTCACGACCCTCGGATCCGTAGCCCGATACGCTACCGACTGCGCTACCGAGGACCGCGCGCCGACGATCGGAGAGCCGGATCGCGGGTGCTGGCGTGCAGAGAAATCTTTACCCTGTACGCCGTAGAAGATCGGCTGGGTTTCGTGAAAAATGGTAGAGGAATTGTCGAAAGAAAATTCATCGATCTATCATTTGAGACTAAGAACCATTGATTCCTTCAAAGGTTGACCGAGATATCGCTCGCCGAAAACAGGCCATTTAACATGTAAACCCTATGGGCTGGTAGGAAATGTACGCCGTGGAGCAGCAGTGCTACCAACTAACTTCGGCGGGGGCCGTGACAACCCACGCGCGCAGGCAACGCGCAGGGTCGCGCAAGGCCATATAACCAGGTATGGTCATCAGGCTTTTTTTTACCGTCCCCCTACCGGGCCCGAATGACGTCACTGGGATGGTAACTCGCCGGCCGCCGTCCGTAGCCATTATGGAGGACGGACGTTTAAATACGTTTTCAGCGGATTTTAGTGCAGTTTTGATGTCCGATGCAAGGCAGAACGGTGTGATGTTTCCTCAGTGAAGCAGATCAGGACCAGCTGTTACTCGAACCAAAGATTTGGCGACATTATTGGGATCAGACCGAGCCAACGTGCGCCCCGCCGGTGATCCGGCCAGCACATCGGCGGCTCTCTCGTAGATGAAAATCGCCATAGTTTTGCGCCAGGCTTCGGAGTCAATGGATTTCTGGTGACTCTGACTCAAACCGCGACTTCCAAAAACCAACTCAGACTCCGACTCCGGGCTGGGTAATCAACTCCGACCGACTCTAACTCCGACTCCGCAGCCCTGCCAGATCTGCGGAGCGGCCAGGGCTGCGGAGTCGGAGTCGGAGTCGGTCGGAGTCGACAGTTGTGACCGGAGTCGGAGTCGGAGTCGACTTTAGAAACCCGAGCCGGAGTCGGAGTCGGAGTCACCGAAAATATGTCGATTCCGCAGCCCTGCTAGGTCTGCGGAGTCGGAGTCGGGAGTGGGAGTCGGTCGGAGTCGACAATTCTGCCCGGAGTCAGAGTCGGAGCTGGTTTTTTAAAGCCGGAGTCGGAGTCGGAGTCGGAGTCGCCGAAAATCCATCGACTCCGCAGCCCTGGCGGAGCCGATGGATTTTCGGTGACCCCGACTCCGACACGGTTTCCAAAATCGACTCAGAGTCCGGTCAGAACTGTCGACCCTGACTCCGACTCCGCAGCCCTGGTTTTGCGTCTATTTCGCCCCATAATTAAGAGAGGTGTGAACTGCACAAACCGAAATTGTACCGTAACACAAGTATATGTACACATTCCAAACTTCTGACTGGAACGAACCAAATGCGTACACAATATACCGGTTTATGTCATACCATAAATCGTAGTTATAAAAAACCATATTGGACAGATTGGTAGAGGACAAATAAGGCACAAGCCTAATCTCTTGCGACTTGAGTAGGTACAATAAAATGCTCCGAACTGTCGGAAAGTTGTACAAGATGTCGCCTCTCCAAACACAATGTGCCGATTGACTCCGCGACAGCCAGGAACCGGGCAACATAACACGTGAAACAGAGCGGTGGCACCTCAGCACAGGCTCCCCAAGCTCGTCAAGGCGGCGAGAAAGGTCCGGCAAGTCGGTAACAGGTTCACCACGGCAGCGACAGGTCAGGCAGGTCGGCAGCAGATTCACCAGGGCGGTGGCAGGTGCGACAGGTCGGCAGCAGGTTTACCAGGGCGGCGACAGATCCGGCAGGGCGACGGCAGTTTCACCAGGGCGGAAGCGTAGACGCGGCGGCAGGTCCGCCGGGGTGGCAGCAGGTCCAGGGCGGCCGCAGGCTCACCAGGGCGGCGACAGGTTCGGCAGGGCGACGGCAGTTTCACCAGGGCGGCAGCGTAGACACGGCGGCAGGTCCGCCGGGGTGGCAGCAGGTCCAGGGCGGCCGCAGGCTCACCAGGGCGGCGACAGGTTCGGCAGGGCGACGGCAGTTTCACCAGGGCGGCAGCGTAGACACGGCGGCAAGTCCCAGGGCGGCTCAGGCTCGCCAGGGCGGCGACAGGTCCGGCAGGTCGTCGGCAGGTCGGCCTCAGCAGCAGGTAGTCAGCACTAGCAGATTCTCGGGGCAGCCCTGGCTGAGGTGGGATGTCATCAGAAACTGCACGTCTGGGTGCCGGTGTCGGATGTCGTACAGACCACGCAGCGAGGCTTTACTGCGCAGCACGCCCTGCTGGCAGCGCAGGAGTGTCGGCAGCCCAGCGGGTGCTTTCGGGTCGCCTTCCTCAACTTCCTTTCGGAAACTGGCGCTCGCCACTCAGGGAGTCGGGCGACGTCTCCAAAGCTGGGAGACAGATGCTGAAGTCGATATGATGTGATTTTATGCCCTCAGCTCGGTGCCAGTCATTGTGTTGTTATGTGCAGGTAGCCACTCCTCGCCGTCCTGCACGCCAGAGGACCAGCCCCGGACCTGCAAAACACATTACCAAGTTCATTAACACAATACAACATGAAAAAATTCACTAAGCGATGGCAAGCAAAAATAATCAATGCCCAAAGGTGCCTTTTCTTCGATTGCCTTTTCTATGTGCTGATATGAAGCCTCAAAACTACCATTTTATATTATGTATTGATTGCAGGCCTGACTCAGAATTCAGTTGAATTAAGCAAATAACACAATTTTTCATTATTATTTTGAATTTGGGTCTGGCATTACTGTTCCATGCACAGGTGCGTCTGCGTATAAAATCATATGAAGCAAATGCATTAGGTAAATAGTCTCAACAAATAGAAATTAGTAGTAGCACAGGTGGTATAAATAGAAACCAATATATAGACATTAGACAAGGATGAGCTTGTTTAGTTAGCAAATGTCAATGATATAACATTTACATAAACAAGAATGGGATTTTCAGTAATAACTAATAAGCATGTCAGAAATCCTTTTAAATTCAATTTTGAAAGTTTAGATACAGATTATAAAATCTGGCAACAACTAATATTGAAAAGAAGTAACAATGAGCTTCAACTTTGCACAAAAGATGTGCCAAAATTTTGGTGAGAAATCACTTGCGCTGAATTTTGAGACCCGAAAGCCCCTGGGCCCTGACACATCTGACAGTGAGTGAATTTTTTTCCAGTCTGGGAGGTAAGCATAGATTGATTTGTTATTTGATACTATTTAATTTGACAAATAAGTTGTTATTTTCACAAAGCATTAAGATTTATAGAAACTAACCACTTCCGATCCGAAACAATTTACAACTATTCCATCTCCATTCTCCTTCTCATTATGTTTTAAACAATGCTAAGGTATTTTACAACTTAATATGAGATTATCATACTCCCTTTGAAAGCCAAAAATGACAAAAAACGTTAAACCGGGTTGAACTGAAACGTGGCTGATCTGCCTATGATACTCATGCTTATACAGTTGAATTAATTGAATACCTGAGCTGAACTGCTGAAGCTGGTCATTCTTCATGATCTCTGAGACGACAAGTGTGTGAATGCCACTTATGTATATGCTTTTCCGATCTTCAAACACATAAAAAGTGATATTATTATCAAATAAACAATATTCAAACTCCGTATAACAATACACGCAACGGCTGGAAAACACTGCGCCGGTGCGCCAGAATTGACAGCATCGCCTGAATCTCAGCGACCAATCAGCTTTCGACCATCCCAGTGACGTCATATTGGCAGCATTTGGTAGCAATTTTCCTCCTATGGCCCGGTAAAGGGACGGACCCCCGCGTGTTACCGCTTCCGAGCGCTGTTCGGCGGCCGGCTAGCGCGCTAGCCCGCGCACACATACGTGCACGTTGCCCCGGCAACGGGCTATTGACCAATGAGAAGCGCGCTACGGGGGGCACAGGTATATGAAAAATCGCAGTGACGTTGCACTTTCCTCGCTTCTCATTGGTCAATAGCCCGTTGCCGGGGCAACCAGCACGTATGTGAGCGCCGGCAAGAGTACTAGCCGGCCGCCGATCAGGGCCCCGGTAACACCGGTAACACCAAGGCGGTAACACCAATGCAGTGCGCTAAAATAGCATTTGGCTTTTTAGATTTAGTGTCGTCACAAGATGAATAATTTCTTTAAAAAGTTACTCTGAATCATTCTAATTTCTAAAATATAGTTACCGAAGTAGTGTAAGTACAGATTAACGCCTATTTTCAACCTGAAATTAATATAAGATCATAACAAAATGAATATTTAAGCGAGTCGGTCTCTTTCAAAAGTCTGACGTCATTGGTACTATTCACCTTTTTTCAATATATAAATATGCGAATCCTTGAAAAACTCATGCGTTGGTTTTCGTGCCGGAATTTTTTTTCACATTTGTTTACTTGTGTCGCCTTGCTTGTGTCAGGTTTCAGATCGCTCTGATCCAAGTAGTATCTATGACCGTGGATCCAAGGGTATTCTGATCCTAGCAGCAGTCGCCTATTTAATTCGGTGAGTTACGTGCCAGGTTATGTTAGACCTATTTCATTGGTGTTACCCTGATGGGGGAATTATGCCTATGTTTCCAATTCAATTGCTTAATTGCACCAGCATGGAAATTGTGACTAATATTCTGAAATGTGTTTCACTTAAATTTATAGGCATTGCTCATCAATTTTGCAATTCTAAGACATTGTGCTATTGTTCTTTCTTCGAACTTTGTCTACGCATTTTTTCCAATCTTTTTTATTCATTGTAAGCACAAATGTTCATTTCCCTATGCTCATTTTTTTTAAACACCTTTCCAACTTGTTTTGCCTAACATTTTTTTTCTCTCAGTAAATTTCAAGATAAAGCCCAAATAACATTTCAAGGATACATTTTTCATATTGTTACATTATTTAGGACATCCTGAATCCAAAAATGATACTTCGTGTCTCACAAATGCAAGATAAAGGTAAAACAATGAAACCTGACCTAACCCTACCTACAACCTGCAAACCTACCAACTTTTAGCCCAACACAACCTACTCCCTTGAAACAGAACCTAAACTTTCTGCCGTTGCATATTTGTATCAACTGCACTGTAATTGCAGTTTGGACCTTATCTTGACAAATACTGAATATTGCTCAGAGGTTCAAACAATCATTTTCTCCTAAAAAAGTAAGCTAACCTGACCTAATGGCTAACCTTACCTAATGTAACATTTCCTTACCTGATGCAATGGGTGGTTGGATGGGTTAACCCGCGCCCTGCTGGGGGTGTTTGAACACCCCCCCCTTGTCGTTTTTCGCGAATATCTCAAAGTTTTTGGTACACCTTATCATACATCAATTCTACACATGTTGTGAAAATTTCAGACCAAGGTCATTCAAGGTCAGGTCACCAGGTCACTTGAAGTGACCTCACCTCATAAAAAGTTTCAATGTCTGTCATAGCTACACCGAGTAACCGATCGCTTTGAAACTTTCAGAGATTGCTAAAAGCAATAGCATGTACAAAATGCATATCTCAGAATTTTGATATCGATGACCTAAGGTCAGGTCAATTTTGCGACCTCCCCATTATAAGTCAATGGGAGAAAATTGAAATGCGCCTATTTTGGACGAAAGACATTATAAACACTCCCAAACACTGAATTACAAGTGGTTTAGACACACTGAACATGAAAATGGTGTCCGTGATCCCTGTTTATGCCCTGAGGTCATCTTAGGTCACGAATGGTATCTAGCAGTTTTTCGCAAATAACTTTTGATAGAGGCATGCTAGAGCGATTAAAACGCCTTAGATGTGTTCAGCTCGACGACACGGATCGACTGATATGCAACATGACCCTTTCCGGTCAGGTCATGACCTTGACCTGAGGTCAAATTTTCAAGTTGACCTTTCAAGGTCAAGTTATAGTTCATTCGATGCGTCTTGACGAGAGGAACACGATGCCGGTAAAAGTAAGCTCGTACAAGGCTTGGGTCAAAAGTTATTGCAGAAAAACTGTTTCCGAAAAAAAATCGGCTATTTTTGCAGTTTTTGCCCCCTGCAGGCAAAACCGTTGACGTTAGGTCAAATGTGAGAAAATTGCTCAGAAAGAGCGTTAATAGGGCTATCGAATGCGCTTTTCCGCGGCGCTGTAGCTCTATTGGTTTCCGAGTTATGCGTTGGCTTCTTTGAAATTGTCGACATTCGACCTGGAAATCGGCGAAATTTTGCCTTCAATGACCTCTGGTGACCTGACCTTTGACCTGACCAAAAAATTGACCGAAGTGATTTCCTCATTATTTTTGACGCTCTTTCGAACGCCGCCTTCCGCGTATCGCTACGTGGCCCAGGAGCCGAGTTAGAAGGGGGGGGGGGTGTTCAAACACCCCCCCCCCCCCAGCAGGGCGTGGAAATCCAGGACCCCCAGCCGGGCGCGGTTTGAACTTTAAAGTGTAGAAGTCCAAGCAAGTGAAGATAAAACACAATCTAACCTGATCTTATCTTACATTACCTACTAATTGTCTAACTTACCACCAACCTCCAACCTACTTCAGACCTTTTGTATAATGTTTTGTGTATAAAGTGTCATAGGTATTGATGTGTGATCTCACAAGCTTAAAAGGATGTCTCATTTTGCCAATTTGTCTAGTTTTAGAGGGTGCAAAAAGAAGTCACCAAAGCAAGTGATTTGTGCTAGTTGCAGGTCAAGCTACCTGCTACAAACTGCTACTTCAGTTCAAACAACCAATTTTAAAGTGGTACCTATATTTCTTTTAAGCAATGTCTCATGTCATTCTATTTTTTTTTTTTTGCACACTTCGGTAGGACGAGTAAACTAAATGTTGCTGGCTGTAATGTTAGATTGTTATTTATCTCTGTAATCAGTAATGTGGTAATTCATGCCCTCACCCGGTCGGTACTCGCCACTGGCTGACGCGTCCCTGCGGTCCTCCGGCAGCAGCAGCGGCAGCGGCGTCAGGCGGCCACCATGGGGGGCTCGCGGGTGATCCGGGTCACCAACATCGCGCCGCAGGCCACCCGAGACCAGATGCAGACGCTCTTCACCTTCGTCGGCAAGGTGGAGGAGATCAAACTGTACCCGACCATACGAGACGTGGCCATTCCGGTGGCGTCGCGCGTCTCGTTCGTCAAGTTCGTCGACCGCGACCATGTGGGCATCGCGCAGCACCTCAACAACACGGTGTTCATAGACCGGGCGCTGATCATCGTGCCGTACGACAAGCCCGACATCCCGGACGAGCACTCGGCCATGCAGGCGCTGGTGCAGTCCAACGGCGCGCTGGGCGTCACCAACGAGCAGCAGCTGCCGGCGCACGTCTCCAACGTGGTGGACGGCGCCTACTACATCACCAAGGACCCGACTTTCGCCGAGCGCGGCGTCCCAGAGTACCCGTCGCTGCCCTGCACACTCGAGTACGGCCAGGTGAGCACTGATCTGCATCCGGGAGTACAAACAACCGAGCTGTACCCTGCAGTACGGACAGGCGAGCTTTATCCTGGAGCAGGAGCTGTAGCCTGGAGTACTGACAGATGAGCACTAAGTTGAACCCTGGGGTACAGGTAGGTGAACTGTACTGAGTACGGACAAGTGAGCGGTACCCGGGAGTACGGACAGGCGAGCACTGAGCTGTGCCCTGGAGCAGGCATGTGCATGGATCCGAGTGATGGATCTATGATCTCAGTGGATCTCGAAGCAAACTGCAGGTTAGAATCTATGATCCCACCGGATCTGGCGTGAAAACAAATTATTCCGTATCTATGAGTTCATAGAAACTGACGATAAACCGAGAACATGGATCTATGATCTGAGCGGATCCCACCATGCACAACATTTGAAACCAGGTTTCCAAGTATTTCTATAATTTATATGTCAATAAGTGCCACAAAACTAAGGATTGGGACGTGCAATCACATAAAATCACTAAGAACGTTTTTGAGTTGCAACAAGTGATTTTTTGGAATTTCCGTGTTGTCAAAAAAGTAAACGAGGATCTATGATCTCACTGGATCTAGAGGAAATCTTGAATCGGATCCATGATGCCCACGGATATCTCGATAAATTAGAGATCTGGATCTATGACCCCGTCTGATCCGAGATCAGGATCCACTGGATCAGATCCCGGATCCATTTTCTCGGATCCAGGCACATGTCTGCCCCGGAGTACAGGCAGGTGAAATGTGCTGAGTACGTACAGGTGAGCGGTACCCTGGAGTAGGGACGGAGAGCACTCTGAATTTGGCGATTTTGTGGGTACGTTATTTCGATTGTGAGCATACGCTTTTGTAGCCAACTTCATTTCATTCATTCTTAATTATATGAGAGCAGTGATTCAATGTTTTATTAGACCAAACACCGGTTGTTTCTTGTTGTTTTATTATTTATCGTCTACTCAATCGTAACGCTTGTAGAGCGAAGTGCCAGCCCGTTACCGGCGGCCGAATTGGCCCTGACCGGCCATAACTCCCACGCTCGCAGTTGCCCTGGCCGGCCATAACTCCCACGCTCGCAGTTGCCCTGGCCGGCCATAACTCCCACGCTCGCAGTTGCCCTGACCGGTCATAACTCCCACGCTCGCAGTTGCCCTGACCGGTCATAACTCCCACGCTCGCAGTTGCCCTGACCGGTCGCTGTGCTGTGCTCCCCAGGTGGAGGAGATCCGGCGGACCGTGGTCGTGGGCAACCTGCCGCCCTCCGCTGACGCCGCCAAAGTCATGGAGTGGCTGGCCGACGCCGGCGAGGTCAAGTACGCGCGCATGTGTGGCCGCGACACGGACGAGTCGCGCGCGTGTCTGATCGAGTTCTCCGAGCAGGCGTCCGTCATCCCGGCGCTGCTCAAGTCGGGCCAGCAGATGGGCGACCGCGCCCTGGCCGTGGCGCACGCCAGCGTCGGCATCGCCAAGCCGCAGATCAAGACCAACGAGATGGCGCAGCGAGAGATCGAGGAGGCGATGCGGCGCGCGCAGGAGCAGCAGAGCCTCATCTCGAGCACCATGCAGCCGGTGACCTCGTACATGGACGAGGCGCGCCGCAGCCGGTCGCGCGACCGCGGCGGCCGGCGCCGGCGCAGCAGGTCGCGCGACAGACGCCGCCGCTCGCGGTCACGCAGTCCGCGCCGGTCGCGCAGCCGCTACTCGCCCGGCCGGCTGCGCCGCTCGCGCAGCCGTGACCGCAAGTCGCGCTCCCGGCGCTCTCGGTCCCGCTCGCGCGACCGGAGCCGGCGGAGCAGGCACCGGAGCCGCTCCCGTTCCCGAGACCGGTCCCGGCGAGACGATAAGGAGCGGCGCGGATCCTCCCGGGACAAGGATAGGAAGAGCGACAAGGACAAAGATCGCAGTCGGGACAAGGACAGGAGCCGAGACAAGGACAAATCAGATAAGTCCAGGTCAAAGGACTCACCAGAGAAGGACAGGAATGCGAGGGAGAGCAGCAGGGCCGACTCGCCGGCCAAGGAGAAGTCCTCCAAGGAGTCGTCGTCGCGCGCCCGCTCCCGTTCACGCTCGCCGGCGAAGAAGCGGTCGCGCTCGCGCTCGGCCGACCGTCGGCGCAGCGGACGCGGCTCGCGCTCCTCGCCCTCTCGCCGCCGCTCCCGCTCGCGGTCACGTGACCGGCGAGCGCGCCGCTCCTCGCGCTCTCCGGGCCGCAAGAGGTCGCGCTCGCCGGGCCGTAAGCGGTCTCGCTCGCCGCGCGGCAGCCACTCGCGCTCAGCGCGCTCACCGGAGCCGAAGCGCCGAGAGCGCAGCCGCGACCGGGACAAGGAGCAAAAGCGTGACAGGGACCGGCGCGACAAGGACCAGCCCAGGTCGGAGAAGACCGACGCCAAGGTGTCGCGCAACTACGACGAGGAGGAGAAGGGATTCGACGAGGACGTCAAACGGTCGCCGTCCCGCGAGACGTCGCCCGCTGAGCGGAGGGCCAAGGAGGACCGGGCGCCGCCGGCCGGCGGAGACGACATGGACATTTCCGAGTGAGACTGTACGGACGCGGCGACCGGGCGCCCTCGGTGGTCAGTCGCCGGTCAAACCGGAAGCATTCGCATCCCTCAGCGAGGGTAACTATGGCGAACGCGCGCGCAGAACCGTCTGCCGACATCCCGAGAACATCGTCACTCCGATTCGCGATAGCCGTGATGTTTCACCTCTTGTATATATAAATAAAACGGCGCCACCGTTCGCATTGGTCTCGCGTGTGGAATTCTTTTTAGACTCCATATCGGCCGGATTCGGATTTTTTATAATTGATAACATTGGGTGTAGTGCCGACTATGATTTCTGCGTCTCACGTCGCGTAAACCCAATCCGTGAGACATAAAAAATCATCTCAGGTTAGCAAGAGCATAAAGTGTTCTCTCATCTTGGGCGCATGAAAGGATTGGAAGACCTGAGTCACTAAGGTCCTATGTTATGAATGGCGTAAATAGAATATTACAGGAACACTGGATAGTTCCGCAACAGAAAAATCAAAGAGTAGTTTATAGGCATTTTCTTGTTTCTACAGTTTCCTCCAGGTAGAGGCCATGGCCGTTGCGGTCTGACATTCGAAGACAATCGCGCGAGGAGCAGCCAGACTTTATCCAGTCTCTTCATCTGGCATCGTGCTTATCCGGGTAACTTCGATCACTGCAACACAGGCCCTCGAGGAGTTTCCATTATTTTGCATTATGCAGCAAAGTGTTGTTACTTTGACGTGACCGTTTTTCAATGCGTTTTCAATTAAGCTCCGGCAACGACCAGTTGAATCAATGACATGAGGTCAAACTGGTGAGGGGAGATAACGATCAGGATTACCGATCCGCTCCACAGTCCGCGGGGCTAGGTCGGAGAACGCAGACACCGACAGTAACTGTAGATGTCAAGTCTAGCATATGTATCTGCTAATACTCGTACTAATGACCTAATACTATCTGCGTCTAACCACATCTACTTTTAGATTCGTTGCCAGTTCTGGAAATTCCCGTGCGGAGATCGCTCCCCTCCATCACTCGTCGCATTGCCTTCATCGGTTGGTCAAAGCCCTCCCACTTGAGCCCCATCGTGGGAACACAGCGTTAGTCGCAGACTACGTCGGGCGGATGTTTCAGTCTACGTGAGCTCTGAGCAGCGAGGAGTGTTCACAGCTGTGCGGTGCGGGTCCACTCTGTCTGGGCAGCCCCACAGAGTACCGGCGGCTCGCTGGGTGCGCTCCGCTCAGCGCCACCTGTCCGGGCCGGACGGGCCGGCCGTCAGTCGCGGCCCCGGCCCCGGCCGAGCGCGCGGCGGCGCCTCCCGCCCCTTCCCTCTCGGCCGATCGGTGCACAACATCCAGTGTGAACGTGACGCTGGCGCGGTCCACTGAGATGGTGCCCGGACTGTGCGAGTAGCCCTCCGGTGTACTCTGAACTGGGGATGGGCAGTGGGGACCGGCAGTGAACTCTGCACTGGCGGATAGCAGTGAACCCGGCGCTGGGGGCCGGCAGTGTACCCACCCCTTCACCCCGCCCCGCCCTCCAATCCCCGTCCGTCCGTCCAGCCAACACGCCGCGGGTGCTGTTTTTCTCTCTGTATTTAGCGATGAGAGTGAACAGCTGGGTCTAGCGGCGCGGGCCGGGCCCGTAGCCAGAGGTGGTCGGCTGCGTCACCTGAACACCGGGAATCTTGGCAAAGTCCTGCAACGGCACAAACGGTAGCGTCAGTCGAGGCATGAGCGTCAGTAAACAAACACACACACACACAAACACGTCAGTCGAGGAATATGGGCGTCAGACGACAGACATGTGCAATGTGCATGGATCCGAGCGATGGATCCATGATCTCAGTGGATCTCGAAGCAAACTGCAGGCTAGGATCTATAATCCCATCGGATCCGAATCTTGGATCTATGATCTTATACGATCTGAATATAAACAAAGAATATGCATCTATGATCTGAGTGGATCCCACCATGCACAACATTTGAAACCATGTTTTAAAGAGTTTCTATGTCAGTACGTACCGTAACTATGGATTTTATGACGTGCAATCAAATAAAATCACTAAAACAGAACGTTTGTGAGTTGCAACAAGTGTTTTTTGGGGGGATTTTCGTGTTGACAAAAAAATAAGTGAGGATCTATGATATCACTGGATCTCAAGCAAAAAAATGGCACTGGGATTTATTACGGAGCGAGCGAAGCGAGCGGAGTCTTATGTAGAATAACAGAAATTTATGAGTACGAGGGCCGGCAGGCCGGCCGACCGTGGTCACGCTTTTGCGAGGCTTATATCTCAGCAACCACTAGACCGATTTACACGCGGTAATTTTTGTAGGGTAGCTTCATTCCTTCTACCAAGTATTGGACTATTCCATTTCCCGAAGCATGTGGGTGACCCCTTATGAACGTGCCACGTGCAAAACGAAGAGGTGTCACTTTTGTAAGTTGCAATATCTCGGTAACTACTTGGCCGATTGCGCTGAAAGTTGGCATGTAGGTAGGCACCCACTAGGCAATGCATATCCATGTGCCACAGTTGGGGTGCTGCTGCACGTGCGCACGTGCAGGGGTCGATTCCAGATCTCGAGAACAGCTGGACTGATGACGCTCAAATTTGGTACATGGTTAGGGAAGGGACGCAGGGCGTCGCTTCCAGATCTCGAGAACGGCTAGGCCGATTGCGCCCAAATTTGGCACATCGCTAGAGACCGGTTCGTAGGGTGCAGTGCACAAGTCGGTTGGAGACACCCCCTCGCAAGTTCGCACGTGCTAGACCCACCCTGTCGCTCGCTCCGTTGGTCGCCCCACAAGGCGTTTTACTGGTTTCAATCCTTCATTTTGAGGTCACTGAATGGTCCGCAAGACCCATACCGGCAGATGTATGCGCAGAGTTGCCACGGGGACAGGGCCGGCGCAGTGACTCACCATCATGCTGAGCATCTCCTTGGTCTCGGGGTCCACGTCGATGATGTCCTTCTCGAGTGCCGACACCTCGGGCACGAAGTTGTCCCTGCGCTCGCGCTCCTCCTCCTGCAGTTTGATGGAGATGCCGCGCACGGGCGCCCGCTGGATCCGCTTCATGAGGTGGGTGACGAACCTGGCCAGAGGCGCGCGCACAGACAGGTCAGAACGCGGCAACTACACTTTTGGCATAGTTTATATGAAATACCGTGCAAGGGGTGCCAACTGCCAAAGAACTTATGCTGGAGAAACGGGAACGGCGGTTAATGTTCGTTTTAAAGAACATAGACGTGACCACAGATAACAGTAGACGTGACCTAAAATTCCATCCTACTTCAAACGTGATAGTGCTACACATAGAATACAACCACTTACCTGATTGGGATTACGACAATATTAGAAAAGAACATGAAGAAATCTACGAGAAAGATCCTGGAAGCGACTCACATGATCACGCGGGACACATTCAACAGTAGAAACGGATTCATTACTTTAAGTTAAAAAAAGATTCATTACTTTAAGTTCTACTATTACCATTTCACCTGAGCTCTGTTTGGTCGCTTTTTTCTTATAAGCATGCTGTCGGTTTTCCCTTATATGGAAGTTATTGCGGTAAATGTCAAGTTTAAGTCCTAAGAAGATTTCATTGATAATTTTTTCATATTTTTACATTATTTGACATCCTGAATCCAAAAATGACACTCATATGTCTCGCAAATAAGAGAAAAAACATAATCAAACCTGACCTAACCTTACCTACTTACCTATAACCTAACAACCTACAACCTACAAACCTACCCTAACCTAACCTAACCTCAGTAGGCGGAACTATGGTCAAGCGTACCCATTTTCGGGAACGCATTTTCGTTCCCATGTTTGGGAACGATAAACCCAAATATGGGAACGCCATGTAGGCATTATTTAAAACAAGAAAAAGGACCGTTAAATGACGTCCAAAAAATATAAAACGATCGTGAACCGTCTGATATTTGTCTCAATATTGCTGGGAAAGAGTTTGATATTGTAAGGCCCATCGTAGTTTCAAATCGTTCCCCTATTTCTAAAGCAGTCCATCATCCGGGCCGCGAGCCCAAATTTGGGAACGCTCTCGTACACTGGCGCTGCAAGCGTTCCTTATTATGGGAACGGCGTACCCAAAATTGGGAACGATTTCACCGACGCCTTTCAGGGGCTCTTTTCATTAACAAGCATCACGTCCAACGCCGCAAATTATTGTTAACGCAACTTGAAGAAACGCCTGAAAGAGTGGGATGACAAACAGTGGAAAGAAGAGTTCGAGGCCAAGTCCAGTATAATGGTATACCGATCTGCCAAAACAGCCATTAAAGAAGATCCGATCTACGATAACACAGCATCGTCAATCATACTCTTCCAGGCCAGATCCAACACGCTTCCGCTGGAGACTAGGAAGAGACACACTGGCGAAGAAACCACGTGTCTCCTGTGTGGAGATGGGGAGGAAGACCAGCACCACTTCCTGCTTGAGTGCACCAAACTCGCAGAAGAACGGCTCAAGATGACTTCACTCCAACGCCCACACCAAGAAGACCAACTAGAAGTCCTGAAGACATTCCTCTTCAATGAAAGCACGGAAGAGATGGAGAAGAACAAGGAGGGACTCTACAAGCTCTGGAGACTGAGGAAGAGGAAACTGGTGACCGTGACGGATGGTGAGCAGAGGACTGGAGCGGACAGAAGCTGACTTGTCTAATTCTGTCCAGGTTACATCCTAACCATATCCCAGAAACCTCCCACCACCCGACGCGCGTTTATAGGGCTACCGATGCAACCGGTGACAGCCCGACCACATCATCAGCATCAGCATCAGCATTAGGGTGTGTCACTTGAAACGAAACAAACGGAAAATGTGCTAAAAACTTGCGCATGGACTAGAAATGAAAGGCCCTGGCGGTAAAAGTTTCGAAAAATCAAAATTCGTGCGGCGCCAGCCATTTTTGTTTCGCCCATATATAACCCATATACAGTACAATGCGCCTGAGAGTATATATGCGTTCCTTTCTACACAGTCGTGTCCGTAATGAAAAATGGCAAGTGAAACGACGTTCTACACATCAATTGACATCCATTTAGCATGATTTCTAAAAATCGTAGTCTCAAGTCTCCCCAGGTCAGGTCACCAGGTCCCCTCAAATGACCTTTTAAACTTGTTAAAGGCCTTCGGTATCAAATGCACGAGTCAGGCCCGAATGTTTTCTTTATTTCCAGTAAAACCCGACCAGAAACCAATAACTACGCATAATAAATGCTTGATTTCTCCAAGGTATCACAGCATAACAATGTCTTCCAATGTTACGATTCAGAAACACACGACAGGCAGGTAAAACTGGTAAAATGCGACCATTCCGGTACAAAGTCCCAGTAAGTACTGAGTACTCTGCTCCAAAGCAAAACACAACAGCTCGACAGTGCAAGCGATGTCAGTGTTGGCAGCTACCGCGGGATGTTGGCAGCTACCGCCCGATCGCCCTCACGAGCCACCTCAGCAAGCTCGTCGAGAGGCTGGTCCTGGGACGGCTGCGCCACATCGTGGAACGCGACCGGCTGGTCCCCGCCGAGCAAGTGGGGTTCCGCGCTGGACGGTCAGTGGAGGACAGCATCGGACGCCTGGTCCAACAAATACAGGACGGCTGGAACCTCCCCAAGTCCCGCAGCAAGCGCGCGGCCGACGGCACCACCGCACAGAATACGTCCTCCTGGCCTTCGACTTCGCGCGAGCCTATGACACCGTGGACCATCGCCTGCTGAGAGTCCGCCTGATGGAGATGGGGGTACCCAGGTGCCTCCACAACTGGACGTGGCAGTTCCTGCGCGACCGCCGAGCGACGGTGGAGTACCAGAGCGCCACCAGCGGCGAGCGGGTGTTCAGGGCGGGCCTGCCTCAGGGCAGCGTCCTGTCCCCGGCCCTGTTTTTGTTGTGGGCCGCCCCACTCGCCGCGGAACTGCAGAGAGTCCCAGGCACCACGGCGTTCCTCTACGCGGACGACACAGCCGCCCTCTGCGCCGGTAACGACATTCAGGTCGCCCGGCAACGAGCGCAGCAGGCTGCGGACACCCTCACGCAGTGGGCCCAAGCCAACAAGATGACGGTGGCCGGCCAGAAGACACAGGCTCTGGTCCTGTCCCAGTGGCCCCGCGATGCGGCTAACTGCTCCGTGAAGGTGGCAGGTGAAACCGTAACTGCGGGCGATCAGCTGAAGCTGCTGGGAGTCACCCTGGACCGGCTACTTCACTTCGGCCCCCACTACCGCAGCCTGAGACAGAGAGTCCGCCCAAGGACTGCCCATCTGAGGAAGCTGACCGGTCGGGAATGGGGCCTTCAAGAGCAGCAGCTCCGCGTCGTAGCCCCCGGCTACGTTCGAGGAGCCCTCGAACACGCCGCAGCAGCGTGGCTCCCGGCAACATCGCCAACCCACCTCGGTCTCCTAGAGGTGGAGATGCGCGCGGCCGCCAGAGTGGTGACCGGATGCCCCCGGTCCACCCCGGCACATGGCCTGATGGCGGAGGCGGGACTCGCCCCGGTGGCTGAGCGCCGCACGGCCTTAGCGGCGCGTCTGCTGGCCAAGGCGCGCGCCCTGCCGGAGGACGACCCGCTCCGTACCGTCGCGGACCGAGAGGTTCGATCCCGCCTCAGCGCAGTGTCCGGCTGGCGTGGAGTCGGCGAAGAGGCCTGGAGGGAGGCGGGCATCACACCGCCGATCTCGATCGAGCCTCTACTCCACAAATAACCCAAATTATCCAGTTCGGTGCTACACCGTGTTATCGTCACGACCGTCACATAATTGACTCAAAAATTTGTTTGTTTACATCCAAATATATGGTCAAGAATATTTTAAAACTTTTAGTATGTAATCATCTGACGATATCTAAGTGTGTGATACTGCTTTCGATAATCAAAATATTTTAAATATCAATAATTGAGTAAATTTGATGTTGAAGTTATATTTTTTAAATAGATTTCGTGTATTTCCAGTACATAATATGTGAACAATTAATAAAATACTTGTGGTCTTACGGACTCGGGATCGTTGTAGATGGCGCTGCATACGGTTTGTCACAGATTGTAGATGTCGCCCCAGTCGAATAATCTAAATTTTGATTTCCGATAGAAAAAGTCGCGGCGTCGTGGAGAAATGCCTCTATGGGCGTGTTTTTATGTAGTAAACTTATTTTTAGGGTCATCCGCAAAATTTCCGACCATTTTCCATCAGATTTTCGAGAAAAACCTATCAAGTGACACACCCTAATCAGCATCAGCAACAATCATCAGATGACCTTTCCGGCAAGACCGTCGCATGTTTCGCCCGGTCTTCTGCGCTTTTATTCCCGTCGATCTCGCTGCGGGCACGCCCCCCTCTGCAGGATTACGTAATTCACAACACTCAGCGATGTTCAACAAGGTCTTCCATACCTATATCCACCGTCCGCGCCGAGGGTGGAGACATGTCAAGCACCTGTCTGTTTATCACCGATAGTTGACGAGTACAAGGAAGTATCCAAAAATGGGAACGCTGAATATGTTACACCCTCAAAACACCTAGTCCCAATGAAAATCTAGTTTTTTCCTTTCTTAATGAGTGTAAGTGGCAAAAGGCCTGGTAGGATGGGCACGAGGAATGATCGAAATCAGCATAGAAATTATAAATAAGCCACACAGAGCGACCTATATAAGAGAAATTCCCCCAAAACGATCATGCTTAGAAACACGGAAGACAAAAACCACGCTCATGACGCTCCTTCTAAAACAACGCTTAACAGCTAGCATTTAAATGAAATATGTCTTTCTGGGCTGATAAAATACAGCTGAATAATTTTCGACCACTTAAACTGAGTTTACAACAGTAGTTCGGTAAAATCACGCACGTTCTACGCGGTCGTCCGCCTTGACACCAAATGTCAACAATATTACCTCGGGACTGTCCGCGTGTTTGCTTGCATATGTCAGCATCTGGTGTCGCTAGTATGAAACTTCATAACCAGGCGAAAATTATTATACTTGACCTCAAAATGTAAAAAATGCTTCATTTTCCTTAAAATTGCATGTAAAATGTAGTGTAACCCATGTTTTCACCATTCCTTCATTTCAAAAAATCATTAAAAATATCATTCGACAGTCAATTTCCTTGTTCAACGGTCAGATTAAAGATAATTTTATAGAGACTTAGTAGATACTTAAATTAGCGTGCACTTTTTTTAGACGTGATGCACTAATGAGTTTAAGTGGGCGAACGGCCGAAAAATTACCTTCCGTTCTCATAAATGGGAACGCCCGTTCCCATATTTGGGAACTCCTTACTCCGCTCCCAAAAATGGGAACGTTCCTATATTTGGGTACTCATGACCATAGTTCCACCTACTGACCTACAAACCTACCTACCTACAACCTAAAACCTACAAACCTACAACCTAACCTAACACCTAAAATTTTTGATGTTTTATATTCGTATCAACAGCGTCACAATTGTAATTAGGACCTAAACTTGACATATACCGTTATTGCTGGTGCTTCTTGGCCTCTCATTGGTCAAATGATCACCTGGGCCACGTGAATCAGCACGCTTGCAGCCTGCCGATAAAAAACGCGACCAAACAGCGCCCTGGCACATCCCATGCTGAAGCTACTCACCCAGCAATCTTGTTGCGCAGCGGCTTGCTGGGAATGATGGCAATTTCCTCACATATTCTCTTGTTGGTGTGGAAGTCTAGCCCTAGCTTTGTATAGTACTTCTCAATGATGACTTTCGCCACCTTCTTCACAGTCTTGGTTCGCACACGACCCTGTCGTGAAAAGGCAAGTGGTCATTTCATCTTTTTACACCCTCTAAAATGGGACAAATTGACAAAATATAGACAATAATGAACTAAACCACAATAGCCTTGAGCAAAACACAATACAACACGTTGTGCTCGCAGTTGTGGTCCAATTCAAGAACGGCGAAAATAAGGAACATAAATGCTATCATGATTGAAAAAAATCAACAAAAAAAAAGCAAAAATATGGCCATTAATCCCATAAAAATTAACGAATTTTACTCACCATGATTGCTCCACTCTGGGCGCGGAAGCCGAAAGACTTGACGGCGCTGCCTTTTCAATAAACATTTTATGGTTGTAGACGACAATTCTTTTTGTGCCAGGCTTTCAAAAAATATATTACAAATTTGATTTTTTTAACGGACCATTGATAAATGCTAGAAATGCATATTATTAGAACAACAAATTAATAAATGTAACGGGAGTTGGCACAATCGGTAGGGGGAAAAAAGGACCCGGGAGAGGGAAACCTTTATGACCCGTTTTCCACTAGAAATGACGTCACAAGAAGGATAAAAACGAGTAGTAAAGTAATTTTGGATAAAAACTACACTCATCGAAAGACGAAAGCTCAGACACAGCTGCGCAGTGAAATTTCACTTTTTTCCCCATAGGAAAGTTTTTACAGGAAAATCAAAATATTGGGTCAATGGGGCTCCGCTCCCGATTTCGTTCAAAATCAGCACACATGATGCCCCACCGGCCACCACCAGCCTAGGAACTCCCTAAAACGGTCCCCGTTGCATTGACGTTAAAGGCCCGTAAAGCCCCATAAACTCTAAAATAATATCCCAAAAATCGCCCTTATACGGCCAAAAAGGGGCGCTAGGGTAAAAATGGGTATAAATGTGAATTTATAAGTGGTGTTTGGGATGGGGACAAGGATAAGGATGACTGGGAGAAGGATGAGGATGTAGAGTGGATAAAGGATGGGTTGTGGAAGGATTCAGGCCCGCCTACTGGCTGTTGTGGTAACTTCGACTAATATTCCTTGTGTGTCTAGGGGTATTCTAATCTGTGTCATCTGCACAATCCTATCATCGTTGTCTAGGGGTATCGTCTTACGCTCAACAATCCTTTAACCCGCGCACCGACGGGGGTCTGCGCCAACTTAGTACCGACGGGGGGGGGGCGGATAACCGCCCCCCCCTGAGATCTCGAGAACGAAGCAAGATAGCGACAAGCGGTAAACGGCATCGGATACGCACGGTCAAGATCTACAATTTTTACTAAGGTCATTTTCAGGTCAGGTCAAAGATGACGTCACAGGGGTCGAAAAAGTCAAAATGGCGGCGCTAAATATGGAGAGAGTTTTTCTCGAATAACTTTCGAATTAGTCAAGATAGGAACAAACTAAGGGCATCATCGTGATCCTCTCGTCAATCCGCATCGAATGATATATATGTTGACCTCGAAAGGTCAAGGTCAAAGGTTGACCTCAGGTCACGTGACCTCGAGGTCATCATGTATATCATTCGATGCGTCTTGACGAGCTGAACACAATGAGACCATCCACGCGTCTGTATCTTGTTCCTGTACGGAGTTATTGGCCAAAAACCTTTGGTGACCTTTGATGACGTCACATGACCTCACAGCTGCCCAACAGCAAAACAGACCTCAAGGTAGTGAAGGTTGATCGTATATGAAGTCATGTATGGTATATGGGGCCATTCCGACCCGTTTTAGTGGTAAAAACAGGGAGTTGATTTTTCCCCCATTGACTTATAATGGGGAGGTCGCGAAATTGACCTGACCTTAGGTCACCGATATCAAAATTCCGAGATATACAAATTGTAGCTACTAATGACCTAATAACATCCTGCGACTTTCAAAGGCCTCCGACTTCTACTGTAGCTCTGGCACGGTGACAAAGTTGCAAAAAAGTGACTTGAGGTTGGGTCATTCAAAGTGACCTGGTGACCTGACCTTGAAAGGTAGGAGGTTCAAACTTGCACACCATGTGTAAAATTGATAAGGGAATAGTCATACCAAATTTCGCGGCGCTACGCGCCGCGGTTTTCCCGCTATTCGCGAAAAACCTCAGGGGGGGGCGGATATCCGCCCCCCCCCCGTCGGTGCGCGGGTTAACCGTCTATAGTTGTATTTACTGGTCGACCAAACACTATGCGACCCACAAACCCCTTCGTGTCCGAATCTTCATATTGCCAGCGTTCTCACCGACATTTCCAGCCTCGAGAAAGAACGGAGTAAGATATACATATTAAATATGTATTGGAAATGAAAAGGCCGAAATAAATAAAAGCGAACAAATCAAACAGAAGTGCAAGAAAACGAGCAATGTCACGGTAACCGTGCACTGCTAAAGTAAATATTGCCAAAGTGCCAAAACATTCAATGAAAGCCGAAACAATGATCAAGCCGAAATCATGACACCGAAATAATATTGCCAAAGGGGGGGGGGGGGGGAACTGACTCATAGCAGCCAAACGTGCCGAAATGGACTGAGTCGAGTCCCGAAACACGGTGTCTCAAAAAGACATATAGACCAATCAATCGAACTTAAAAACTGCCCACAGTACCGCGGCCATCCTGAAGTGTTGTTTCCTACGCCAGTGTGACTATATGTGCGTGTCTGTGCCTGAGACATATCTCCGACCGCAGCAGAGACTCAACCGAAGTCAGGCTCTAACCCTTTCACTCCGCCGGTCGGAACCAGTGGCGTGGATAGGGCTTGGCAAGAGTCCGGTTAGAGACGTCCGACTGGGCAGGAGATAAGGCCCAAGAACTTACATGTTTGTAGACCAGACGCACAAGGCGACCACCGCGGGCGGCGTCGGGACCACCACTGCCCGCGCGCGAACCAGAGAGCAAGAGCCCGAGAGAGAGAGAGAGCGACACGAAGGTCTCAAACGCGCCTATTTATACCTTCGCACATTCACCGCACAGGGCCGCGCCCGTCTCTAGCCCGTCTCGGGGCTGGTGCGGCCGGCGATCGGCGCATGGTATTTCTATATTATAGCATTCACATATCTTACCAATTGTCATATCGCAATATTCTAATCTACCACCACCATGGTGCAATGTAGCATCATTATCCGCTCCCTATCGAGTATCGAACAATGCACAACAATCTGTACCGGTGTTCATACTACCCACAACGTTTAAACTACACATGCCGCCACCTGCAATTGCATATCTAAATACCGTCATCGCTATTGCCGCAAGCATGTCAAATTAACATGTCGCTGCGTAACATTCAGGTCAACGCACCATCACTCCAATCAGTGTGCCGTGCTTTGTGTGTCGCGTATCTGAACAGCCACGCCGTAATTATCGCTCGGACATAACCATGTACCTTCTAAATGTGTATTCCTCATCACCCTTCGGCCTTCCTGATGTTGATAACACGAAACTCACTCGATGTCTTGTTGCGGCAAAATTACCGATTCATTGCGCCAGCTGCTGTCCCTATTTCCGACTGTCTATCCACTGCGCGAGTGCCTATCTGGAATATTTTTGTTACACTGTTCCAATAACGGGATATCGCCATTTCACGGTTCGCATAATTAATCGTTAGCCGGGGTACCTTCATCTCACATTCCCTCGATGACCGCGAAAGCAACACCTCGGTCGTTCGGTTTGTCTCTCAGTTCATATCCCAGTAAACATGCCGACGTCGGCCCGACGTCGGGCCGAGGCTCGGCCCGACGTCGGCCCAGCGTCGGGTCAACCTCGGCCCGACATCGGCTGGACGTCGGATATGCCCGCATGTTCCGACGTCCAGCCGAAGTCCAGCCGACGTCGAACCGACGTCGGGCCGAGATCGTTTGCCGAGGTTGACGAGATCGTTTGTCGTTGGACCGACGGGGCCGACGTCGGCATGTTTATTGGGACAACGCGCCAAAAATATCAACCGGCGCGGCGGCGGGATTCGAGCCCCCCAGTCGCCGACGTCGGCATGTTTACTGGGACAACACGCCAAAAGCATCAGCCGGCGATGGGATTCGAACCCCGTGTCATTCGAATGCGAAGTTAGTGCGCTAACCACTACACCACGCAGCCAGCTAACGACTTCGGTTTGTTTTGTTGGTTTATGTCCTTTCGGTCTGACAAGACCATTTCAGAGCCGGAAGGATCATAGGATGGAGACATTGGTCTTCTTGGCGAGCACCCTGGGTCCAGTTCATATAGAGTCCCTGGTCGCATTGCTGTTACGTGACACTTATTGGAAAGGGCGACCCCACAATGGATTCATATAGCCACTCTTACACACCTGCACCAACGTTTCCCAAAGTGTCCCTTTGATAAGTGGCACTTTGGCAAAGTGACACTTGCCGACTGGCCTTTCTATATGAACTGGGCCCGGCCCTGGTGAGTTGCCGGGGCTGAGCCTGACCAAAGGATAGGCCGAGCAGCCCCCAAGCACTCACCGCACCCGGCTACGGGCGAGCTCGGCTTACGGGCAATCCCAAATGGGATAAAGTTTCCCGTCCAGTCCGGATCAGGGGGTTGCGGCGTGGAGGAAGATTTGAGTTTCCTGAGGATATTTTGAATACAGAAGCTCTTTATGAAACATGAAACATGTATTTTATATTATTTTAACGGTCAAAACAGCGGCCGATGTCGGTCCGACGTCGCCCCGACGTCGGCCCGACGTCGGCTGGACCTCAGCAATTGATCTCGGTCCGACGTCGGCCCGACGTCGGCTGGACCTCGGCTGGACGTCGGAACATGCGGGCATATCCGACATCCAGCCGACGTCGTGCCGAGGTTGGACCGACGTCGGGCCGACGTCGGCATGCTGATGCCGAGTTGCCGACGTCACCCCGACGTCGGCCGACGTCGGGCCGACGTCGGCATGTTTACTGGGTACTTGTGCAGAAGTAGGTGTGTAAGCCGAAGCGGTTGGGAGTGCAAAATCGTCTCTCTCTTGATTCCGACTTCCAGTATATTATAACGCAAACGCTCACGCCAGAATGCCTTGAGCATCGAGTACCGACATCAACATGTCTAACGCTCTCCGCGTCCTGAAACGTATTACAATGCCATTAACAAAAATCCCGTAATAGGAGCGCGAACCAAATTGACTAAAGCACACAAACTCATTACAGAAGTGAACATAACAAATATCCGCAAATCAGTCAAAATGATAAACTCACCGTTCAGCAGACGCACAGCACAAACAAGCACAACGCCTTTCGCTGGCGCTCCGATCAGTTTGACCCGTCTGACGGCGCCGGCTGATCGGCCGAGCGCCGGCCGGCCCTCAGGCTACGTGGCCGCGCTCTCATTGGCTGACCACTAGAGCCGCAGAATACCGACGGTAACAAACACAGTACCTACACTCTTCCCCCTTAACTGAAAAAAAAAACAACAGAACAAAAGCACAGAACAAAACGGGCAAAAACTAAGCATAACATCAATCAAGTTGAGC